TGGGCGGTGGTGGTGGGGAGGCAGGGAGGTGGGAGGGGGGCAGGGAGGCGGGAGAGGGGTTAAAGTATATATGAAAATTCTATAAGGAAACCCACTTTGGAAACTAAAATTTGCTCACCCAAACAGAAGAGACCATAGTCTCCATGTCCAGCTCTCAGGCTGGCATCCCTAATCATACCATCTTTCATATTTCTTAACAAGTAGGAAGGCAGTCCAGGTGGAAAATGTCTGAACACGGGCTACAGAGCAACGAGAGAATGCACTCTTCCTTTCAAACATGGAATGAGAGGAGACGAGAAAACCGAAAGAGACCTGAAAGTAAAACCGAGTTCTTACCGCTTATCCTGAGCTTTGGACTCTGATGCAGTGTCTTTGTCTGGGAAGATGCCCTTTGCTACTTGAAGAGACACTCTCTGCAAGCGTTCACAACTTTTGAGGCAGAATGAAGAATGCATGAGGTCAGTGTTGGTTTTCAAACACAGGGACATTTCCTCAAAGAGGGCCATCACCTCTTTCACAAACTCCTCTTCCTGAGATTCATATAGACAGGAGAAAACCTCCTTTAGATCCAGTAGAAAGAAGAGGGGTTTATTTTCCTCTGACTTGTATTGCAGTAATTCCTGTTTCACTTTCATGGATGTTTGGCAGCCAAACGTGGTCTCCAATTCTTGGGTTCGTGTCTTATTGAAGAGGCCAAATAAGTACAGCCATACTTGGGTCATGTTGGGGTTATCTATTCTGCATTCTTTTGAGAACAGCACCTCTAAATCACTGATAGACCATACAGGGTTGTCCTCATTCTCGCTGTCCTTTAGAATGTAAAACATGGCAGCCATGAGAAACAGCATACTGGGGTGGATGAAGAAGTAGCAGTTCTTACAGCTCCAGTCCTTCTGGAGGATGCACTTGTCCAGGAAGGGACGGAGATCAGAGTCCTTCAATCCAGTTCTCTCGAGGTCGTCTTCATGAAATATGGTCAGGTCTTTGGTGAGCCCATACTGAGCTAGGCGGCATAGGTTTTTTAATGCCTCTTGGAGGTTCCTCCTGGGATGGTCACGATTGGATGCTGGTGGGAACTGGTTGCAGAGGAACTTCAGAAACAATGAGGTGCAGGTCTGGCAAGTCAGAGCAAGGTCTTCCCCCTTCTCCATCTGGCGCTCAAGACAGGTGCAGACCACCCAGCACACAGCAGGAGCTGAGGCCAGGTCAAAGAGAGCAGAACTGCACCTCATGGCATCCAGAGCTCGCAGTGCCCGTTGCTCATCTCTGAAGTGTCTCAGGAAGTACTCCTGTTTTTCCTGCTCTGAGAAACCCTTAACTTCTAGGAAGAGTGGCTGCTCTACCATGTGTCGGAGCACATGCAAGGTGTCAGGATGTGTCGTCACCAGCAGCGTGGCATGGGGTACCAGTTTCCTCTTTATCAAGCTGCTCACGAGGATGACCCCGGACACCTCTGCATCCCAGTCACCACTGATGTCACATATCAGACCCCCTCGTGGGGCTCGAAGCTCATCTAAACCATCTACCACAAATAAGACTTCCTGTGCTTGGGCTAGGGGCAAGGAGATACACTTCTCACAGTCAAAAACATCTTCACAGAGGAGACCCACAAGAGTGCCAGACTCAATATGATTGATCTCCCTGCAGCTGATGTAGAAAGCACAGTCGAAGATCTGGCCCTGCCTGCCCTTTGTCCACTCCAGCATCAGCTTCTTCACCAGCGTGGTTTTGCCAGTGCCCGCAAGGCCTTGCAACACCAGGGTCCGAGCAAACGGCCTTTCTGCCTTCTTAGGATTACAGAGCCCCAGGAGTGTCCTGTACATCTCAGTATCAATATAGACTTTGCTGCTGCCTCCAGGCCAGAAGTTGTTCCTCCATAAATTCTGCAGTCTCCTCCTCCATAACCTTCTGTTTCCCTGTCCTTTAGCATCAGTGACAGGAGGTAGGAGACACAACATAGTTGGTTATTCATTGTGGAAAAAAATACCTTGTGTTAAGAAATGAGGAAGAAACAGGGGTTATGAAAAGCAACCTTGGGACTGAAGAGATGGCTCAGCAGTCAAGAGCACTGGCTGCGCTTCCAGAGGACGCGAGTTTGATTCCCAGCACCCACATGGCAGCTAACAGCCATCTGTAACTCCAGTTCCAAGGACTCTGATGTCTTCTTCTGGCCTCCACAGAAGCTTTGTATGATATAGGTGCATGTACATACGTGCAGACAATACACTCATACACATAAAGATTAAAAAAAATTAAAGAGCACTCTCACTCCCAAGTTTGCTACAGGAAGACATGCTATAGACCTAGCTTTTATTTATTTTTCCTTGCATAAAGTATTTTAGAACAGTTCAGTTTGAAGTTAAATTTGGATTCCCCTGGAGCTGGAGTTACATGTGGTTTTAAGTCATCCAACTTAGAAGCAGGGATCCAAACTCAGGTTCTCCGTAAGAATAATATGTGCTCTTAACCTCTGAACCATCTCTTCAAGCCCATTTTTAATTTTAGCAGGAGGAAATAAATAACAAATTGCTTTCTACTACAGCAAAGTAACCTCTTTGGATGATTCTCTTCCACTGAAGCCTGATCAACTTATCTAGTGTCATTCAAAGACCATGAACTCACTCTGAGGGATATCAGGGGACATGACCTTGACTTGATAGACCTTACCATATAACAGAATGCATTAAATCTGGTGGTGGGGGAACTATAGGGGAGGTGAAGATATGGGAGGGAGGTCTAAATAGGATTAGACATTTTAAATTTTTTTTTATTGATTCGTGTATTTCAGACATGTATGAAACACACATGAATCAATAAAAAAAATTTAAAAAAGGAATGACTTTCCTGCTTTAAAAAATTCTCATACAGGGGCTGAGGAAATTGTTCAGATGATAAAGTATCTGAGGACCTGAGTTCAGCCCCTAGCACCCACATAAAATCCATGTCCAGTGGTCTGCACCTGTAAACCCCATACTGTGTTTGGCGGAGATGGGTGAAGACAGATCCCTTGGGCCACTGACCAGCTAGCCTAGTCAATCAATGAACTCCAGATTCAATGAGACCCCCATCTCAAAAAATAAGGGTGAGAGAAAGACACCTAATGTTAACCTCTGGCCTCTACCTGTGCACAGGTGTGAGTGCACCTGCACACACATGCACACCCCAAATTTTTATACCCATGTGTATTCATGTAAGTACATTGAGCACACTTCCCTCCATACCCCTTGGCCCTCCTCTCGTTAATCAATTTCATCACACTTAGCTTCTTTCAAGACTGTTTTTCTCAGACTTGTGACCCCATCTTGTATTTCTCTAAGTTCAAATTCTCTCCAGGTTGTAAGCTGGGAAATCCAATGGGTGGGTAGTTCATGGGGAGAAATGAGGGCACACAGCTCAGTAAGATGCTTCTGTTCTATGAAGCTGTTGCAGGAAATGATTGCTATATTAAAACACGGCAAATTGAACACAATGTTACATGCATTTATATGCATGCATTTATACACATTTTCCAGCACTTGGGAGGCTGAGGCAGAAAGATCACAAGTATGAGATTTACTTGGGTAATAGCGAGTTCCAAGCCAGCTTGGGCTACATAGACCCTGTTTAAAAAATCCTGCAGAGGAGTGGCGACTGGCATACTTGTCTGTAAAAGAAATGATTTATCATATATTAATTACATTTGACTAGGGATGTGACAGAGTTTTCTCTAAGATCTATGATCTCTCCAGTCAAACCAGCATAAAACTGGGAAAATGGACAGGAGACCGCAACTTTGTCAAGGAGCTATTGGCAGCGGGTCACTGCTGGGTGAAGGAGAGTTGATATTCTTTAAAGGTGTAACACTAGACAGGCTGAACAGGCTCCAGTGGATGAACAAACACAGAGGAACTTCTGACTTAATAGGACTTAATATATGTGCCAGAATGCATGCAGTCCTGTGGGTGGGCTATGGGAGGCTGCAGATAGGGAAGGGGACACTAAATATGACTAAGATGCATTGTATGAAATCCATAAAAATCCAATAAAAATATATTTAAAAATTTTTGCAGAATCCTCAATACATAAGGTTTTTAAACCAAAATCCTAGGGCCACAAGTAAAATTTCTTATGAGTTGTTGTATAGGGAAGTTCCCAAGTCTCCAAAGATAATTAAAGCTATCCCCACTGCTTTAGGTTGCCAATCAGAACTAGATGGCAAGACCCAACTGCCAAAGCTCATGCTTTTGGATAGGACATAGAGAAGCTGAAACTTCTGGAAGCTTCCTCCCTGCTGGTTAGTTTCACAGTGTTGGAGGGAGTGACATAGGCATCTGGGGGAGAACTGTCATTAGTGTTCTTACTCAGCTGTGAATTCTACATACTACACTAACGACTGCCAGGCAAGATGCGTCCACCAGCACAACATTGGAATGACTGTTACAGAGGTGACTAACTGCTTTCTGATTGGATTTGATGCCTTTTCCATGGGAGGGAATTCAAGTCTGGTATTGTAAACCTGGTCAAAGGCCCCTGGCTTGTAAGGACATAGGCCCTGTTTAGGAAGGTTACTGTTGTGTTGCTAAATGGACACAAAGTGCCTGTCAAATTGCCTTCTCAACAGTTATGTCAATGCCATAGATTAGTGCTGTTAATTTTGGTCAGAGAAAGTTCGTTTCACACAGGGCAGTGGTTACTGAACACCTGGTAACTAGTTCAAGTTTTAAAAGTGAGTTCTGCATACTCAGCACTACATGGAACCCCCTTCCAGTCTCAGAGAATACTGAAGATGAGGCAGAAAGAATTTAAGCAGAGGAAGGGGCAGAAAATTGTGGAATGCTATCCTATGAACATGGCATGACTGTCACATTCTTGAACCCTACACAGTATCTCCACAAGACTGGACATACCAATACTCATCAGGGATCAGGGAAAGGCTCACAAACACCCCTGTGATTATTTATAGGCAGTTAGTGTTTGCTAGAGAGAGTGGCTCATAAGGCCCTAACCCTTTCTGAGGCTCTATGATCCTTTGACAGATGCTGAGGTAGGTAGAGTTATTTTCTTCAGCGCTAAGCCACTGGCAAGGTGTCCACGTTTGTGTAAGCAACCCTAATGGATGTTAGTGGGGTCACCAAAGACAAATAATTGAGGGAAGAAGGGATCAGCAGGAGAGGGGGTCAAAAGAGAATGGGGGTGAATATGATGAAAATACATATATGTATGAAAATATGATGGAAACTACTATATGTAGTTAATAAATGCTAATAAAATCTAATAATAATTGCTCAGTGCAATTTATTATACTTGTCTATTTTATCTGCTTGACCAGGTGAGAGACCAGGAAAGGGATCTTCATGGATCCACCATGTTAGCTCGCTGTTACTGCTCACATACTAGAATGAACGAACAATTAAAGAGTGCTGCCTGTCCGTGACATGCCACAGCTTCTGGGCACCCACCCCGGAGAGGTGAAAACCTGTCATGTGAAGATTTCTGCACACACATGCTATAAGAGACCAGAAATTGATGCCTCAAATGCCATCTCTTTAGTATGAGAATTTGTGCTAACAATGGAGAAGTAGATGTAGAAAAAATAAATCATCTTTTCATTTGCTTCAAAATGGCATAAATCACAAGAGTGTCCTCTCCTTTCAAGGGAGGAGGAAGGGGCTCACCACAGGACAACTTTAGTCTGGAAAAAGCTTAGAACATCTGTGTGGCAAACAGCTCATTCTCCTTAATGTGCTTCCCTGTGGCTCAGTCTGCTTTTCTCTAACTTTCTAAAATCCACTGTTTTCTGAGGATGCTCTGTAAGCCAGAATTCTAAGATAGCTCTGTGAGAATTCCCTATCCCCTGGGTATCTTCCATGTAGGGAAAAACATGTTACTAAACTGCTTTTTGACTTAAATTGTCTCGTCAAGGATTCAGGTAATAAAACCTAAGAAAGAAAAGAAAATCTTTTGTGCAGTTCAGAAGAGTATTATTCAGTAGTATGAAAAAGTAGAAACATTAAGATCTTAGTATAACTGAAACACACTAAAGTTTCAAAGCCACCATCCACTTATGAGAGAGAACATGCGATATTTGTCTTTCTGAGTCTGGGTTACCTCACTCAGAATGACTGTTTCTAGTTTCATCCATTTACCTGCAAATGTCTTAACTGTGTAATTTAACATTTTGTAAATGGGTTACCATACTTTATCCATTTATCAGATGATGCACATCTAGGTTGTTTCCATTTTCTGGCTATTGTGACTAGAGAAGCAATGAACATGGATGAACAGGTATCTATAGCAGGACATAGAATCCTTTAGATACATGCACAGGAGAGTGTTATGGAAATTGCCAACTGCTTTCTGATTGGATTTAAAGTGTGCTTCATGAGATGAAGCCCATACCTGACACTGATATAGGCCTAGGAACCTGTAACTAGATAAGTCACAGAGGAGAGCCTATTAATATTATTGTGATAAACTGACATACTATTAAGCCAATTCCTAATGACTTATTGATGTACTCATAGATTAATGCATCTCAACCCTCAGGGAAGCATCCTCATGCAACAGATGGTGATTAACAGAGACCCACAACTGGCCAATGTGCAGAGAATAAGATACTACAGAGCGTTTAGCCCTGTATCAAATCTCTGACTCCCAAGGCTCAGGGATCATTGTGGAAGAGGTGGATGACCACAAGGAAACAGTTTTCCAGACAGCTGGGCAGTTACTCACATGAACCCATGGCAGTGGTTACAGCATGCACAAGTCCCATATAAGCTCAAGTGAGACAATATCACAGTATAGAAGTGGGGAAGTGGCTAGGAAACTCCACCCCAGCTGAGGGACTATTGGCAACTGATAGCTGCTGGGAGGGGCAGAGTCAGTCTTCTTTAGGTGTGCGACTGAGTAGGTTAACCAGGTTCCAGTGGATGGAGCCACACT